TTTGGTAAAAAGTGATATTTTGACTTCTTGTTAAAAACCAATAGTTCAATTGCTTTGATATTACATATTTAGATACTACATGTAGACCTTTCTCAGATTTGTTCATTTCGTGATGATATCTTGGATTCTATAATTTTGGTGAATATTTTTGTCATATTTGGTAAAAAGTGATATTTTCGACTTCTTGTTAAAAACCAAAAGTTCAATTGCTTTGATATTACATATATAGATACTACATGTAGACCTTTCTCAGATTTGTTCATTTTGTGATGATATCTTCAATTCTCTAATTTTGGTGAATATTTTAGTCATTTTTGATAGAAAGTGATATTTTCGACTTCTTGTTAAAAACTGTAAGTCCGATTGCTTTGATACTATACATATTGTTCATTTTCTGATGATGTCTTCAGTTCTTTAATTGAAATGTGCATTTCTAACAGCGGAGCTATCTCAGCCGATAGGCTGCTTGTTTAAAAGTTGATTAACTTTGCATTTTATTTATTAATTGTATAGCTGTAACTTGCAATTAATCAGGGGTTTTCAGTGGCGCCGTGCTAAGTTAAAATGGAGCATTCTATGGCTTCCTTTAGGCCAAAATTACTATCAGACAGGTCACAGTTGAAGACTGTGGCCACATGTGATCCCTGGTCAATCAGAATTTTATGGTTGTCAGAGGATCTGCTCCCAAGGGTAAAGGGGAGCATGGCCATGGCACGAGGGCGCTACGCCCTTGTTCCCTTGTTTAAAAAAATCTCTGATTAATTACTTTAATAAGTCGTTCTCATTTGTTGCAGAGTGATCACCAATCTTGGATAGTTTGTAGTTTGTATGTTGCTGTCATGGAACACAGGTAAATTTATTTTAATACTTTTGAATAATGATGTACACTTATTAATTATATTTACCTTGTATTGATTTTACACAAGACCACCTCAATCTGTTATTTGGTGAGTTTCACGAATGACAAACCTATGTCTCAACGGTTTTTATCAATTATCAAAAACAGAAAACAAGTAAAAAAAACCCTTGCCTCTGAAAATACCTCAATCATAGTGTCTTAGCACCAAATACACCCAATGCATTGCTCAAGAACTAACATGGAGACTAAACTGACTTATACTTGTTTTCAAAAAACAAAAAGATGAACCAGTTACCCTTTAAGGTTAAACATATTTTACTGACCATGCCAAGTATATACATATATAACATAAGTATTTCATCTTGAGAAGCAGCCCATTAAAATTCCATTCCTGTGCATTTTTTTTTTTGCTGTTCTTGATACTTACATAATAAAAATAGAATGAAGTAAATGATATAAAATATACCAAACTATCTCATCTTTAATTAATTGCAGTCAAATGTACTCAATTTAATTCACAATACTGTGAAACCGATTATTTTCACTGACATTTAATTTCACTATTTCGTTGTTTTGAGGTTATTCACTATGGTTTTAATGTCACGAAATTGTCAAGGAAACAATGAGTTTTGTTGTTTTTTTACATGTTTTAAGCAAATTTTACAAATTTTACAAATACAGTGTAATCAGCACCCTTATGTGGCAGCTGTGTTTTTCTCAGTGGCAGGTTTGAATCATGTCAGATGTGGGTCGTTGTACTTTCTGTATTGTTTAATATCTGAAGGCATGCTTCAGTTGAATCAACATGCAACTGATTCAGTTTTGCTCAGCTGTCAAAGGACTCTCTTACTATGTAAGGGGGGGGGGCAGTATAATTGTTTATAAACAATACAACACAATTACTATACCAATTCATTTAATGAAGGTAATTATATTATACAAGTGTATCAGTGCCATGAATACATTATTTTGATTGGAGATCCTACTTTTAGATCCGCTGTCGTCGACGCGAAGCTCTTCATATTACTGATTGTCCGGCCTCTGTAGTATGTACCGTAAAAACCCGCAAATAAGCGCCACCCTCAATTAAGAGCCACTCAGTGAAAATTTGTTACATTTGACCCTCCATTAAGAGCCACCAAGAGTTGAGTGGTTTTGTCAATAAGAACCCTGAAATAAGCGCCAGCCGCCCGGTTGTTTACAATCAGGCAGACACCGAGCTTGTCGTGCCTCACTTCCACCTGCATTGTTTATTGCCCCACAGAAGGT